CAATGCCGATTCGTAACGAACAAATTCCATTTTCAATAATAAAATAGATTATCGTTGATGGTTGACATTTTGTAAGTAGATAAGCTTTCTACCATGAATAAATAAACAAAATTTTTTCCCGGTTGGTATGACAAGCCCAAATCATCAAAACAGGAATTTTTTCATATATTTGGGCTGACAAACTATTTCAATCGAACGAAGAAACAAAATCTGGTTTGCCGTCATACATTATCCGTTCTTATTCTCATTCACCTGTTCAGAGCACGAAAACTTTGTTTCGTTCATTAAGATGAATCAATCACGAACAAAGTGATTAATTTTTATGCGACTGTAGCAATGAGACGTCCTTCCATTCCACCAGTTGGGATTAATTAATCTCTTGAAATTGCACTTTTTTTTAATAACATTTTAAGTTGCCGCACTAGAGCATGCATTATAATTAAGCGAATGTACATATCATTAAAAATGATCAAATTTAGAATAAGCTCGTTCGCTGAATCTGATTCATTGAGCTTCCAAGAAATCTCAGCACATTTCAAGTGCAAATTACTGTTTGTGAGGTTGTCATCATCGTCGACGTTGTCACATCAAGTATTTAATGCATCATTAAAGCAACAAACAATTGCGTTATAAAATATCTCACATTTAATATGTGATTTTGTTTCCATATGGAAATTCTTGAATCATACTTCTTAAATTTGTGGGTAATTTTTCAAGATGTAAAAATTGTGTTAGCTACCGATGTTAGTTTTTATTACATAATTATACATAATAAAAGCAAACAAATTGTCTTTTGAACGACAACCTTGCCAATACTTTTCAACAATGGAAGAAGGGCATGACAAAGTGGAATAATAAAATATTGCTGCTTGTTATCGCGTGCAACACAGACCAAAACAATGAGACAAGCAATTATATTTTGATATATTCCAATCGTTAAATGATTTATATAGAATTGATCATAGCTGGTCGTTGTGTGATTCAATCGAATCTGGATATGTAAACTTCATTCACACGACACTGGAGCCGTGGAGTTTGAAATTGTTGGTTTCAATTTTGATCTGAAAATTATACAATTCAAAATATCAATTTCAGTTTTATGATTTTCGCAACAGAACGGCGTCACGATTTATTCTAATTTTATATACAAACCTACCAAGTCACACACGTAAATGATAATTTATTTCATTCAATCGTTGGAAATTCCTTTCGCTTGAGACACTTGTGTATTTTGAAGCCGACGATCGGCAATCAAGTGGGAGAGTCGTATAAAATATGTGACTATGTGTTGAGACTATGTATATTTAGAATAAATTCATGAATTTCGCATAAACACACATAAAATAGTACATATTTCCGTTTTATTTACATATACTGATTGATATGTTTCGATTTCATCATTCAATATCGCTTTATTTGTTGGGTTTGTGAGCATAGGTTTGCGTGTTGGCCCCACCGATATAGAGTATTACGGCTAAACTTGAACTTAAAATGCGTAATGAACTAATACAATTTTGTTCGAGATTTCGATTAATTGTTTAGTGATCGGAAACCGGTCGCTCAAGGCAAAAAAATTTACATAGTGAAAAACAATGTATATTTATTATTCTATTTAACATTCTCGGCCTTAGCAAATCGCATTCGGTTTTGGTTTTTTGCGATTACTTTAGTCTCAATCTCTCATTTGTCGAGCCAAACACTAGTACAAGTTTGGTTCTTATTCGAGCATTGAATGCTTTCGAATTATTGTGATCGCAAAACCCACGGGTAAAATCAATAGACCGAAAAAAACCGCGTTGAAAACCAAGACTTTGTATGTAAATAATTGTCAAGTAATTTTTGAAAATTGTTTCTCGGCAAACATAATGTGCGTCCATTACGGCAGTAAATCAATTCAAATAATTGAAATGACAATAGCAAAGAAAAACCTCCAATGTGAAATTACAGCGATTTGTTTACAACGATCCAAAGGTAGACATAGACATGAAACAAATCTTTGTTATTTACAGAGGTTTGGATGACCCATTTTGTCGTTGGTTACATCACACACACACAGAGAGACTCACTCATTCATTCATTGTTGTACGAAGAACACACGAGAGTCGGCAATGTTTACAGTTTTTCCATTACGATTTCATGCAGCAAAAAAAAATACAAATGGTTGTGACCTTGAAAAATCTCTGACAGCGGAAAAAAAATCGACGAGAAGAATAGTGAAAACAATTTAGTTCATGCAAATGACATAATTTGTGTTGTGTATTGTGTTGAAGGGAGAAAATTGTTCGTAAAAATTAAAAACAATTTCAATTCGTTTCACGTACAATCGAGAGATGTAAACATAGAATATATATTTATAGGTTTTTGCGATTTATTTTTAGGCATTGTGTGCGCAACAACTTTTCATCGCAGAATGTTTTTAGCCAAGACAAAAAGATGTAAAGTCCATTGTTCATATCGTAGGCAGAGCACGCTGATCAGATTATTATCGCGGTTAATGCATCTGATGTTAACAAAAATGTCTTCATTTTGCAAACAATGTTGAGAAATTCCGTGCACAATTGCAATATCGATTCACTTGAACATTAAACGCGATTCGTGTTTCTTTCTCTCTCTCCTCTCTTTCTCTCGTATTCCACTAAAAAGTAAAAAAATCTTTCTCGTTAGTAGTGCCGCGCAACAAACTCATCATACGCAAACACAATTTATGGAATGTGTTGTTAACAAAAATCATTTGAATTTGCTTGTGAAATTGGCGTTTCATTGTATTGCGTGTAAAAAAACCTTCCATTGCGTAAACTTGCTTCATTGTCACTTATATAATAATTGAATGGTAGCTTCGTTAGTTTAATCGTGTTTGCAGCACCAATGATATGGATATGGTTGTGCTTCCATCAAAATGAACGCAATATCAAATTTGGAAATGAAATTTGTGAAAAATTGGTGTGTACACATGCAAAATCGTCGATATGTGAAATTGGTAACTTACAGCTGAGCATGCTATTCGCATAAACTTTAAATGTATCGGTTGAAGTTCATTCATTTCCGCTGTTTACCAATTTAATTTGTACGACAATTCGAACTGACGAAAAGTTGCGCAGCCACTTTATCACACCTGTACTTCTTACAATGTTCATTACATGGTGGTAAATACATTTCGATTTTTAGCACGTTAAAGTTTACGTTCACTTAAAATGCCTCTTTGTTGTCGTGTAATTCGTATTTGTTCAATGGGCTATCATCAATTTTCTTCAAAACAAAAAAAAACTTCTCTGCGTCAACCCAAAATGTGTCTTAATTCTCCGAGATAAAATGACTGGTCTTGGATTAAACTATGAGTCGCAGTTTTTGTGTATTTCTAATAAAATAACGTGAATCAGCATGTCGCGGCAAGTTTTGACGAGACGTAAAAACATTTGTCAACATTTTAAGTAGCACAAATCAATCATGTTCGATTTCGAACTGGATTCAAATACATTTGCAAAACACATTGGACAATTAGATAAAAATCTCAAACAAAATTCAATCCCAAAACGATGATAAAAGCATTCATTGTCTGGCCAACATATTCTCGCCGATATATAAATAAGATATCCGTAAAATGTTTTATATATTTCAAGGTCAGGTGTGTTTTGTAATCGCATATCGTCACATATATGATCGCGTTACTGTCTCATATTCGGTCAGTGCAATAAATCAAGTCTTTTGTTTTGTTTGGATTTCAGCTTTTTTTTTTTCAATTTAAATTTGTGTAGAAATAAAAGGGACGTGCCGATGTTGTGTTGTATGTCATAAAATTGTATTTTGCTCGAAATTTACATAATTGTAATGTTCTACATTATTATTTTTGCATTGATCACTCACATACGTGTGATTCCTTGAGATTTGTTGCTCTTGATCTGATCCGATTTTGCTGGCTATATCAAACAAGAAGCTTTATGATTGTCATAAAACTGAATGGAATGACGCATATGCGGTTTTCATTTAGTCAAAGGTTAAATTCATTTGAGCGATCGACTAACCAAAATAACAATACCCAATTACCTGCAAAAATGATAAATAAAAATGGTTGAAAAGTCATTGTCTCATATGTCAACCAGAAAATATACGTTAATAAAACAAAACCCTCCCAAAACGAGTATTTTGATTTTTCTTCCTTCAGCCGCTTAATTTATCGTAAATATTTGTGCACAATCTCACAAAAAATACAGTTTTATTGTCTACTTAATTAACATTTACATAAATAAAGAGACAAAAATGCGCATATTCCGCGAATTATTATGAATATTCGGCATTATTCACGTGATGTGTTGACACAAGTGTTAATTGAAATGATTAAAACCGGAATGAATGGTGTGCGTCAGCAGGAAATGGTTGAGGAAAATTTAGAAAAATATGCTGATAAAACTGTGAGATGACTACCGACCCAAATCAATTCATTCCAATTGCTGGATTTATTCGCCAATTTTTTTTTATCTTTTATTCAAAACACTTCGAGCATAAAGGTGTCGACGACCAAGACGGCAAGAAGACAACAACACGAGAAGAAAAAAACGAGTCGACGTGCTTTGTTCATCAATGCCAGTGTTTAAGTAACACTTGACAAGATCAATACACAAGTACGCATTATCGCATGCACACACAAAAAAATGTGACGAATCGGTCACATCGTATTAACCGATTGATAGGCGAATAATAAATGTTATTGTTTCGTCGAAATTGACAACTTAAATAATCTCCACATTTCAAATCTCCCGATTCTATACACGTCTTTGACGAAAATTGACAACATTCAATTATTATTATTTTTTGTTGTGTGTTATGAACTCAATCGCAAATATTGTAGGGTGTGTAGTGAACGAACAAAAAAAAATGAATAACAAATCCTTTGTGAGCACTTAAATAAGAGAAGGTGTAAATAAATTTAATAGCCACCAGTCTTGTTAAATAATTGTTGCGGTGTGGTGGGCACATAAATTAAACTGGTAAAACAACAGCGCAACAAAATCAAACTAGTCATTTTACATTCTGATTCCAATGTTGAAGCATCTATTTGAACGACCCAACGAAGACAATCAGACCCATTATACAATTGTAAACAGAACTTTGATTCTTTTTCATCGCAATTTAATAGTCTACTTTACAAGATAATTTCAATTTTGCAGCGTTAGTTCTCAACAATTGAATTAATGGTGTACTTAATTTGTGCCTTTTCATTTTTTTTCTAGAACAAAATGGGAATGGGTGGTGATGTCAACGGTTGCGGCCTCTGCGCTAAGTATTGCCTATTTGCAGCTAATTTTGTGATCTTTGTAAGTGTATTGTTTTATTTTCCATATATATTCAGATGATTTTCATGTTTTGATTTCAATGTTTGCAGATTGGTGCATCGGTTCTATTGGGACTGGGCATATGGACATTGGCCGATCGCAGTTTTATGAATGATTTGCTTGGGACAAATCTATTTAGTGGAACTGTTTATGTTTTGATTGGTACAGCAGCTGTTATCTGTGTAATTTCGTTCTTTGGGTGCTACGGTGCAGCTCGTGAAGTCAAAAGTTTATTGCTCTTTGTAAGTGGGATTTTATTTTTTATTTTTCTTGCAACATTTTGCGATTATCGGATATGAAATGATAGTTATGGTGTAGACGGGTCAAAGGTGTGGAAGTAAATTTTTTTTTCTTTGGCAGTATTTCGTGTTTGTGTTTTTGGTATTCGTTGTGATGCTAGTCGGTGCAATTTTGGGCTATGTATTCCGAGAGAAGGTGGTACAAACAATGCGCCAAGAGATGTACTCTTCGTTGCCGCTCTATGGAAATCGTCGTGCAATCACATTGGCATGGTAAGAGAGGAAATAATAAAGAGAGGAAAAGAGAGAGAGAGATAAAGAGAGAGAATTAATCGTTTGTGTGTATAATTTTATTAATTACAGGGATGAAACACAAACGCGCTTAAAATGCTGCGGCATTGAATCGTATCGTGATTGGTATGGATCAATTCCAGAATCATGCTGTCAAGAGACATACGGAGGACAACGTAAACGTAAGACAATTTGATTTTTGATTTTTTTGTGTGGCAAAAACTCAATTTTTTTCTCCATTTAACAGCATGTATTGATGCCCCATCACCACTGACACTTCATTCGAATGGATGTCGAAATGTAACCACCGAATTTGTTCGTCAACACGCTTCAATTATTGCTGGTGCTGGTATCACTGTTGCCATTCTACTGATCTTTGCTCAAGTATTTTCGTTGATTTTATTCAAAATGATCGAATAAGAATCATTCATCGAACGTTCTCATCCGCAAAATTTTGTTTCTGTTCGCTGTGTATATATTTATGAGTATTAAATGTGATGAAAATATCCAACGGATTGAATCACTGACGAAACCATGAGAATGCAGCCATAAAAAATGTTAACCACTTCAAAACAAACAAAATGTACTTCGTTTTAGTTATATGTTGTATTGACAAGATCCACTTTTGTATTGTTCATTCCATATTGTTGTAAAAACTCATCACATCGAATGATGATTTCAAATAGTCAATTCGATAAGTACATTATTAATTTGTCCGAGAAAAAGAAAATAACGTCATTCGCAAAAAAAAAATTGCGCCGAATTAAATGAAAGTAGTACAATAATATCATTTTCTCAACATATCACATTTAGCACAGATGCAGATATTCCATCATTTATGCCATCTGATCTGAGTTTTTAACGGCTTCATGACTCTTTTTTTTTAAATAAAATTTTATCGCTAATTTGTAATTATTTTTAAGTCAAAATACCTATCCAAAATTAAAGCATTAAGTCGAACATGAATTTATTTAGTTAGCGTTGTAAATTTAATGGCACCCACTTACGCACACACGTACACATACACACGAATATATATATGTGTATTTCTTTGATTTATCCTCAAAATTGATGACACACTTTTGTGTGAATTTTTTATTTTACCATTCGGAAAACCAGATTTGGTTTCAAGTCGTATACGTAACGTTACCATTGTACTACTTATGTTCCTCGTATTGCTTAATACAATCTTCGTAAAATATACAAAAAATCATATTATTCCCGAAAAAACATGTGTTTTTATTCGAAACTTTTGACATTTTTTATCTTTGTAAAAGCAATTTCACACTTATTATGACAATTTTGAAAAAAATTATAATTTGAATTCAATCAAGTCCTGTGACTGAGTTATTTCATTCGAATTTTTCATTTTGCAAATTCAATTGTAATTTTTATGATTTAATCGATGATATTGTTGTTGCAAGTTGTTCTTTGGTTTGAAGGTATTCAAATGATCGTATCCATCTACACCCAAACACTTACGATGTTCCTTAGAGTTTTGTGGCTTGATTTCATCGTATATTTGATAAAAATCACTACTATTGCGATTCATATTATCAGGGATAACTTGATTATATATCTCATTTGGTTTCATATTCAAATTTTTCGGTCCTGCAAAATAAGAAATTACGTTGCAATTTTTTAAATTGAATAAACTTGTTGCAAAGATTACCACAGTCAAGCTTGACTAGTTCATTCACATTTGTATTGTTTCTAATTTCCTGTTTAGCTGTTGATATTTGTGTCTTTTTAGCATACACACAACCAAAGAGAATTGAAGCGACGATGAAAATTAAAATTATTAATGCGAGAACGATCTTTAACCAGAACATGGGATTCACATAAGACTCTGTATTTTTGGTTGATTCCGATATACACTCATTGCCATTTCTAACATAACCACCTAAACCAAATTTAAATGGAAAGAACAAATTCATCAAAAATATACGAAATATAAAACAAAATTATTACTGCAGCATTCGCGAGAACTTTGTTGCTCTTCTGATAATTTTTGATTGATATGAGTCACTTCAGTAATTCCACCATTATGGTTATTCATCGAATAATTTTGAAACCCAATGAATTCTTTTGATGCACTAAATGAGAAATATGTCACTTGAGAGTTTATCAACACCATTTGTATGTGATTTTTTTGGTTTAGGTATTTACCGGCGTGAATAGCATATATTAGATCCTTTTAGTTCAACTGGTTTCTCATTAAGACTGTTGTTATCAGATGATCCACTTGGTGAAACTATTGGTAATACCAATTGCAAAAGGACTATCATAGTAATCATCATCGTCACTCTTTTTAGCATAAAATTTAATTACAAAAAATTACACTAATTCAGACAATTTCTTTTTATTCAACACTCTTATTATTATGCTGATGTAATACTTGGAATACTTATTAATCACAGCGCTGAATCATAGAGCTAAAATGGATAGCATAATTTTTATAGTGCCGATTTTCAGTTAATAAATGAATTCTTTATTTAAACTACCTTTCACGATAGAACGTAAAGATGTTATTCTCTTTTTACGAAATAAAATACCAAATGATTTTTAATTGATCCAAAGATAGATGATGAACTTTCAAGCAATCATTTTATTTTATTTATGGTATTTTTACTGTTGATTGCATCAATTATACTTCACAACTGAGCCAAGGCGAGATAGTTGAATGCCAAGTTTATTTAAAATGATTTCAAAAATAATGATAAGAAAACTATGACAGAATATGTTTTTAAAGTAAAATATTCTTTGAATTTATGTGTTGCAAATAAGTTTGTGAGATGAAATCATTACTGAATGAATTCATGTATTCGATTGCCAAACAAAGACCAAACTTTTATTCAGAATGGTTAATTTTGATGACTTTCGCCAACTACATTGATTTCCAAAAGTTTTACCAAATCTGGTATTGAGTTTTTTAACAGTTAGTACACAAAAATATTGTCTACACTCAAGGTGAATGACTTGAACGTTTAGTCAGTGCTATTTCAACGGTGAATTGAATATTTTATTTTTGTTATTGTATGTAAAATCCGGGCGAAATCAGGATTTATCCGGGCGATTTGACAGGCCTATGCTATGTGGACATTTATATTTATTTTTGTTCAATGCCATTGAAAATCAACTATTGTGATTTCATTCGGATCATTATTGAGGATGAGAGTGCTGTCCGTCTGTATGTTGAGCATTGGCACCTTTTTCGGTTAGTAATTTGACTACATCTGAGTGACCTGGAAAGAACGAAAAGTATGGAAAATAATCACTTTTGAAATTATTTATTTAGGAAAAGTGAACAATTACCCTTCTTAGTAGCCAATTGAAGTGTTTTATTTTTGTCTCAATCTTCAACGTTCACATTAGCTCCATCTCGATAATATTTGGCTACTTCTGTACGACCTAGAAAGCACGAAAACAAGAAAAATAATCTTTTTTGAACCATTTTTCTCTTTATTTGAAAAAGTGAATGATTACCACTCCAGCAGCCCAATGAAATGACAGAACAATCGAATACTTTATAGAAATGTCTTAATGAAATTTTGAAAAACTCTATTTAAGATGAAAACGTAAACCCTCTCGAAAATTGATTATTACAAAATTTGAGAATGAAATTGCCTCCGTTTGCGATGAAGTATACGACACTTTTGCTTTTTTATTTTACTCTATTCGCATAAAATTTCGATTAAGGCGAATCTATAAATAAATCTGTGGTGTGTGTCCTTTTTTTAGCTATGAGCAAATCAGATTATTCTTTCATGTCCGATCATCTTACTTTCGGAACAAGAAGAACAAAAATAAAACAAATTCAAAATTCTATAGCCACTCCATGTGAAGTTAGTTTCTAGATAGAACATGAAAATTCGCATAAACTCATGCCAAACTGTACGATATGCAAAATGGCACAGCTCTTTCATCTAATCTGAGCAAAATAAATAATTTTAAATTATGTATAAGTTTTCATATAAATTCCGGCAATAGTTTGATTTAATAAATCGTATTTTCACGAACATTTTCAATGAACTGACCCGATGCAAACATTGCTTTTTGATTTCATTAAATTAATCCAGAAACTAATAACTGAGCATCATGAATTTGAGGTGATGTATTAGATTTGAGCAAATAAATTGAATACATTACCATTTACCACTAAAATTATTCTGAAAAAAAAAGCATCATTCAAAAATGTGTTGAAAATAAAATAAGTAAAACTCTGTATATTTGTGATTAATGTGTTTGGAAAATTTATTCAACAGATTTTTGTTTAATTAAAGAGTTTTTGATGTTATTACAAGCAGTTAAGCAGAGCAAAAAAAAAAAGAATTGGTTTTATGTGGATAAAATCTTTTGCCGAAAATCGGTTAAGTAATCGGTCCAACATGAAATGCGTTGCTCGGGTGCAATGTGTTGCCAATTGGGCGATTGAATATCCTTCGACAGCCAGTTAAAATCGCCAACATTCTCCCAGTTATTTTTCGTCGTATCTAAGCCGGCCTTAACAAAATCATCGTCAATATTTGTGTAACTATAATTATATGGTGCGACATTGATATTGTTACAATCTTCGATGATTGTCCGGCCCGTAACATGCACGTACAAATCACAATGATGCGATGTATGCAATCGTATTTGTTGGCAACTAAAGACAAATTTACAATTGGTACAATTGTCAACAAATATCGATCGGCTCACTGGTCCACACAAAATGACACAATTTGTCAAATGCGAAAGTTGAAGCAAAGCGGGATGGCCAAAAATTTTTAATAAACAACTGTCTAATGTTGAAACGGTAATATCCTTATTGTTTGTGTCATCGGGAACTAAAACAATTTCAGCATTTTGTCGATTTTGTAGTGTCCATTGAAATGCATCGTTTACAGTACTTGCTGTTGGCTGTTGCTTGCTGGGTGCTGCATCGACGGTTGTTGTGCTTCTCGATGTGGATGCAGCATCGACTTTTGATCGAAAATTGAATTTTTTCTTAGCCAATAGCTTATCTTTGGTTACTTCGATTCGTGCTTTTAAATCATTCAAAATGCTTTGACATGCTTTTATTGTGTAATTCGATAGGAAAAATGTTGAAGCGGTTAGATAATTCTGCAAACTTTGTATGTCTTCGTGAATGTTATTGATGTCTTGCGTGAGTTTTATACGATCGTTGCTCGGTTTTAAATTGGCCAAGGCGTCTTCAATTGTTGTTACTTGTGCTCGAAATGTTTCTTGAAAATAATCTAAGCTTTCATTTGATGCATTGTTCTGCTGTTGTAGTTCATGCTTTGCATTCACCAGCTCTTGTCGTTCACGATTTCGCTTATCCAATTGATCGGCGATTTTCTCTTTATACAATTTTTGCACATCGTTTGGCTCCTTTTCTACGACAAAATCCATCTTTTTTTTTTGTTTAAATTTTCCTTGTTTGTAAATCACTTGATATATAATTTGACTTTTCTACTGTTACTAATCTAACTTCATAAAGTTCAAGGTGATCTAACCTCAAAATCGATTGAGATTTGATTTTAGATCAGAAATTGTTCTTTTTATTCGGTTGACGATGGTTTTCGATACATTTGACGACGAGCTTCATTTTGCTTGCGAGTATATTCACGTTCGGCAGAACCAGCTGGCGACATACAATATAATCCCCAACCACCACCAAGAATAACGATGCCAGAGATAAATGTTTTCATAAACGGATTCATTGATTTTGTATCGAGTCTTGATTTGAAGAGAGAATTTATTTTATTTGGATTTTTTTACGGCAAATGTTGCTGAATCTGCTTCACGCAAACGGGCCAATGCGTCTTTGTCGAAAATTTCGCCGATTCGATAAAATCCTTCAAGAATTGATGGAAATTTTTCACCGATATAACCGCGAAACGCTATCGAATAAAAGAAAACGTAAAAAAATGAATAATTAAATGCACACAACAAATCGAAATGAAATCAATAATTGGATCAAAATGTTAAAGTACATCAGAATATGAATAATGTGTCACGAGTATCGAACAGATGGTCAATATTTCATCAAGAAATCAAACATTTCACAATTACCTTGGTCTCTATTCATACGAAACCAAACACCGTAGGAACCGAAAAATGCGATTGTTTCAACAAATAGAAAGATTTTCAATCCGCCTTGAAATCTCTTGAATATTGCGGGCTTTGCAGACTTTTGAATCATTACAAACAGAACAAATAAATTTGGAATTGTAATTGATTCAACACTATTTGATCATCACTGTGGTTATTGTGCACTGTCAATCGAAAATGGGCAGCAGTCAAAAGCATGAATGTTACGAAGCCTGAAATATACGGAAATCTAAAGTATGGTGATGTGGAGAGAATACAATCATAAGTATCGTGTGCAATATAAACGTTTAGTTACAAACATTTTTAAAATGATATTGGACGAGTGTTTTTAAAGCATTTCCGACCGAAATATCTGTATTTCATTCCATGTTTTCGTTTTCTAATAAAAATTCCATTTAAAAAAAATATTTTCATTTTTTTTTTTTAAATAAAAAAATAAGAATTAAGTTTAAATTGAAACCAAACGCAATGTATTTGTAGTGAACGAAAATATACTCAAGCAAAGTACGCCTTAAGTCCAAAATGACAGTTTGACGAGTCTGTGCATTGTAAGAAAGAGATGAATGGCTGTTTTGCACAAATGTCAAACAGCCGTAGATGACAACAAATGAAAACAATTATGGCATTTGTTTGCTATCGATAAATTGTGTATTTTGTGATTGTATATTTCCAAAAAAATTGACTAAAATGCGTTATTTTAATTGATTTATAATGGCTGTATTAACATTTTAACGAAATACTCGATTGAATTGAACCATAAAAAGGTTTCTTTAAATGTTTTAATCGGTGTAAATTGGTGTATAAAAATGTCGTCACGCAAAAAGGTACGGTGTAACACATACAAAAAAGAAGAGTTGTTGTTGTTTTGAATGGCGCGAAATAATATCGCAATTTTATCAATTGATTTGATTGTTTTTCTTTCCAATCTGTAGTCGGTGAGTACGTCTGGAACGAGTTGCAGTAGTTCCGGTACAACATCATCGAGTGGAAGTACAAGTGATTCGGATTCGAATTCATCCAGTTCTGATTCTGAATCGTCCAGTTCGCAAGGTGGTAATCGTAGTTCAGCTTCAAATAGTACACCAAACGAATCGAAATCATCACAAGCAACACCAGCTAAAAAAGAGAATCCAAAAGAAAATGCAAATGCCAAAATGGAAAATGAGAAAACGCCGCCAAATGCAACAAATAATAAAACAAAAGGAGCTGGCGCCACGTCAAAGGGATCACATGCACAACAACAACATCAACAACAAAAAACAAATTCACGAAAAGTGACCGCTTACTCAAGTGAAGATGAAACACCGCAAACAAAAGCTGAACAAGCCGAAGCAAAACGAATACAAAATGAAATTAAGAAAAAGACTGTCGCATCGCAAGCGCTCAAATCGAAAATAGCACCACTGCCACCACCGACTGGCGGTAAAGCGCCGCCGTCTGTTGTAAAACAACATCAGCAAATGAATAAGGCAGCCGCCAATCGAAATAATAATGCGAATAAATCGAATACAAAATCTCCCGCCAATTCGAAAAAGAAGAGCATTTTCTCACCAGATAATTCGTCTGAAAGTGAAGGAGAAACACCAACCAAGAAAAATGCGTCACCGACGAAAAAAACACCGGCGCCCAGAGGTCGACCGCCAAAAAATAAACCACCCGAAAAACCACCGCCGCCACCCAAATCATCCGAATCATCATCCGCTTCGTCAACCGATTCATCTAGTTCGAGGTTTGACAAATTAAAACACCATTTTCCATTTTCATTTGTTGTACTAATCAATTTTTTTTATTCATTCGTTTCGTCAACAGAGATTCAGAGTCTGAGTCAAGTGCACAGTCATCGCCGCCAGTTAAGAAAAAACCGACCGTGGGGCGAAAGCCCGGTAAAAAGCAATCACGAAATTCAGCATCAGCATCAACATCAAAATCGGATCAACATGGCAATTCTGAATCGGATGTCGACATGAAACCCGTTACTCGTTCATCAAATACTCGTAAATCAAAACATTTGACAGGTAAATTAGGATCAAATCAACTGTTTTTTTTTTTTTCAATTTTCGATGCCAATGAATTAATTAAAACGAATTTTTATTTTTATTTTAGCTATTTTCAATCCATCGAAAGCGTCCGAACCATCTGAATCGGAGACCGATGTAAAGCATACAAAGAGTCCTGTAAAACGTACAAAAGGAAAAGCAAATAATTCCAAAATAAATTCCAAACTAAATGCAAACGTTCCGAAAAAAACCGTGTCAGTTGTTGAAGAGCGAAAGTGTCCAGTCGATGGTTGTGATTCAATTGGTCATTTGAATGGTAAATTTGAAAAACATTTTACACAAGAAGCTTGCCCTTTCTATCACAATGTTTTGCTGGATGAAACAAAAAAACGGCGTGAAGAACGTTTGAAACATGAAGATGAACGTAAAAAGGCGACCATTTTATTTGATCCAATGTCAAATGTAACGACCGTCGAACAAAAAGCCTATCAAATGAAAATCAACGATATGCGTGCGAATTTTGTACCGAATCCACCGTCACCAGTGCGCCAACCAAATCAAAATGCTATAGCGAACAAACACCATCAGCAACAACAAAATGGCGAAACTAAACAAAAAGAACCAACACTCAAAGGATATGTAACCGATTACGATTTGAGATTATTTCAAGAGGCACAGGCGGTTGCTAGTGAAAAAATCGAAACTGATCTCTTAAGATGGCCAGCCGACAACAAAGGAACAAAGTAAGTGAATACTGTACATGTTGAAATTTGAAACCAAAAAAATTACGGTTAATTTTCGATTTTCAGGTATATAACGATGGGAAGGCACAATATGGTAGTTTGGTACCAATCACCGTATCCAGACGATGCAGCCCGTTTACCAAAATTGTATTTATGCGAGTTTTGTTTGCGATATCAAAAATCAGAAATCACAATGAAACGACATGCAGCCAAATGTGTGTGGCGACATCCACCTGGAGACGAGGTATATAATAATCGGCTTTATTTGTATTTAAGTCTTCTTCAATATTTCCATTCATCTTTCACTGCGTTCGTCAGAAATAGAAAGAACTTTTATTTAACTTGACGAACGAATTTTAAACAATTAATCATTCATTTGTCCATTCTATACAGATTTACCGAAAAGGAAAGCTTGGCGTATGGCAAGTGGATGGAAAACGACAAAAACAGTACTGTCAACATTTATGTTTGCTGGCCAAATTCTTCTTGGATCACAAAACCCTGTACTATGATGTCGAACCGTTCTTATTCTATGTAATGACATTGGCCGATTCGGAGGGTTGTCACACCATTGGGTATTTTAGTAAGGTGCGTGCACTTTATAAATAAAGCCATTAGCATAAGATATTGAACATGCAGCATCTGTTTTCGTGCAAATCAGATTAAAATAAATGAGTGAAAGGCACTTTTCTTCACTTTGTGTATTCAAACATCTTATCACATACACATGTATACAAAATAGCTCAATTAGACCTGACAATAAATTTGCAATTCATGAGAATCAAATGAAGGGAATCCCATATTATGGGGTTTCCTGCAAAATTGATTTAATGATTAGTTCGTCGCTCATTATTATTGTTTCTCCGCCGTATGAGCCCCACCAATATAGTAGAGTGGTTCCCAGAAAATGTTGTCCAGATTTATTTTAATATCTTCAAACTTTCAGAATGTTTTTTTTTTTTTGTGAAAAAAATAACACGTGAAAAGTTTCACGTCATTTCGATGTCATACAAAACTGCCATACAAAATCCATTGATTTTTCAGATTTTTGTTTGAAAAGCGTATCAAAAATTATTAGTATCGTAAAACTAAAGTAATATTTGGTTTTCTCGTGACAATAACATATTTGTTTATAGCGGAAAAGAAAATTTTTCTGGATTTTAAAATTGATCCAAATCCGTTAGTCGAGAAAACTCCCGATGACGTTTTTAAATCTAAAATACGTTTTTTCATGTCGTAATTTCGAGCTTTTTGTTTTTGGACCACTCTAATATATAGCCAAAATAAGTGTTGTTAAGGTTATGCTTTTCATGCGATTATCGTGGATCTCATTACTTTATAACATATATGAAATTTTCGAGTACAGATTATCAGTAAACAGCATATGAATGAAACTATCTTCAAACCGTCTAAGAGGTGCAAAACTTGTATATAAATAAAATATCGCGTGTATGTGTATACTATCCATATAGATGTGATGCTATACACGGTTATTGAACTGTTTGAATGCGGAACATTCACCCCAAATACCATAGTCGTCGCATTGTATGGCTCACAATGCCGCCATATGACTACTGCAGTTTATCTATCCATTTGGTTTATATTGCTCACATGCTTTTTTCTGTTCAGCCAAGGCAATTTCAGTTTACTATAGATCTCAGATATATCAATATATTTTCAAACAAAAATAGATAACATTGTGTGGCCGGATTTAATTATTTGGGTATATTAAACTTTGTCCAATTTTAAAGCAGTGTGCGATTTACACATTTGCTTTAAGATCCGAATACAATAAATCTGAAATGCGAACCAAATGAAAAGCAAAACTATGTAAAATTGTACATTCATATAGAATGCAAAACAAAAAAGAAATTTCGTAATCTTGCTGTATTGTACTTGCCAAAATGTGTGTGTGAGCAAAAATGACCAGGGTACTAAAATGAGTTTTAAATTGTTAATTTATTGAAAACATTGATGTTATTATTTCTTTTTAATGCTCCGTTGTTGTTGTTGTTGTTTTTTGTCTGTGGTAGTTGTTGCATTTTATTACATAATTATCACACGTTCCGCGTCGCACGGGACACTTGCTGCACACATACAAATCCAGAAAATTTAGTATCAAGACGGCAAACCGGCCAACAACAACAAAAAAATGCATGCAAAGAATTCGCGACAATTAAAAATCGTATCGCCGAAGTAATTTATTATTGAATATTCAATAGAGACGATTAATCTTTTTTTATTTCGTGGTTCGTTTTTAACTAGAGTTGCGAATCCATGCCACATAATCAATATCACATCTTCGTCGCTCACCAAGCTACATATTGTGTCGTTTTTCATGTTATTGTTACATTGTAACAGTGTCAACAGATAATTTGTAAAGAGCGACACACAGAGAGGGAGAGAGAGAAAGAGAAACGGACCAATTTTTTTATGGTTTACAACACGGTGATAATAATAAAAAACCGAAATATAACGACAACGACGATGGTGAGCTTGTGGTGCTGATATTTTTTTGCGATAAAAAAATTGTAATATAGCTGTTTATTTTCGATGTTATTGTAATGTCAAAAAGACGAGAAAAAAAACATTTCTCCGTGGCCATCTGTTACCACTTTGTCTTTTGGGGTATACTTACTTTGGCTGTGCAGCGCACTTAAGACAGGCCGATGAAACGTTCAGATCGATACGTTGTCTGTACTGAGCAAAAAAAACCAACAACAACAACACATTTCTTCTTCGATCAAATTAAAACCGACGTATATTACCCGATTGCTAACATACAACAACAGCGATCAATGAGTGGATTCACTCTTGTGCATGCATAATATAATATAATATAACGAAATTCTTATCATCCAAAAAAATCCACAAGTTTTTTTCGCTGTCTCTTTCTTTTGCTCCGTGTGTTACTCTAAATTTAATTTATATTCACTTTGACGTTGTTTTTTTTTTCTTTTTTTGCAGGAAAAAAATTCATTCCTCAACTATAATGTATCATGCATTTTAACATTGCCGCCATATCAACGCAAAGGCTACGGACGTCTTTTGATCGATTTCAGTAAGTATAAAACACTATCATTTCTTCGATGTCCATCATTATATTTATTTTCTTTACCTGCCTTTTGATTGACGATATAATGACTTCCCAAAAAAATGCCACGCATTTGCACTCATGTCAATGCTGTGTTACATACAAAAGTTTGCTAGAAACGTTTTATTCTTGAAGCAATGTAAAATGTGTGAAAAAAAATATGTTCAACAACAACATGAGATGGCCACGGGCAGTTTTTCACAAGCAGTGCATGGATATTCGGGACAAACGGTAATTTTCGCCAATTAGAAGCACATAAATGTGAACATGCATTTTTTCAAGTTACCTTTCTCTCTGCGCTCAATATCTTCTCTCGCCAATCGAAAATTGACGGAGTGTGAGAGAAAATACCAAATTAAGTTCTTCGATTGACACATTGCAATTGCAACCTAATAATAATAATCGATTCAATTGCAAAATTACCGGGTTAAATGCATGTGTGTGTGTGGTCCGAATGGTTTTCGATGGATTAAGATTACAATTAAAATTGATGTCGGAAGAAAACACAGAAATGCATTCAATTGAAATTGTGTTTTGACAATGAGAACTTTCATTTGCCCAAATTGAAACAGCAACCTTCAATTTCCAGCGCACATTTTTCATTATCATTTTCGTAATTACTTATTACAATAGTGTGTGTGTTTATCCCACTTGTTCATCTTCAGGAATAGAGACCATCAAAAAACAACCAATTGGCATTTCGTTGGCTGCAATACAATACAATGTTCAATCTATCGTTTGCATACCATTTGAGAGCATACGTTCTTATTTCACCTATTCAATACACTTTTTGTTAGTTTGTATATTCGTTTGGTTTTCGCTCATCTTCATTATCCACTTATATACATGTTTTGCTTATTTAATTGTGTTGGTGTGTATGCGCTACATCATCGTCTTTATATGCCCACGTCTAAAAGTCTTTTTGCAGATACCCCGAACATTTTCGCAATTTTATAATAGAAACATTCGAGTAAGTGTGTTGGGTCGGTTCTTTTTGCTGTTGTTGTTGTTTCTTTTCTCTTGTTGAATTTTTATGTGCGTAAAGAGATCTGTCTGGCTTTGTTGGGAAATTCATCGTCAGTGCACCCGACGTTTTAATATTTTGGTCTGGTATGAGCGGTTTGCATGTATGCTTTCACGGTTGCTTTCTCTCTTATTCTTTCTATCTCCCTATCTCTCTTCCTCTCCGATTGTCGTTTACGTTCGGTTGTGTCTAGCATGTCTATGCCCTGGCTGCGAAAACCACGCCTTTTACATGAATGTTCTTGTGCTGTTATTATTAAATATTATCGTTTTTGCTGGTCGTTATTTTGTGACTGTTGTTGCTTTGACTGTGCTGTGCGAATTTATTTTCGCTCTATCTCTCTATCACACAAATACACACTTTCTCTCTCTCTTTCTCTCTCTCGCTATGTGTAATGCAGTAATTTTTCCGCTGGTTATTATTGTTGCTGCAGCTTATTGATGCGGTATTTATATGCTATAGTCAAACAAACAATTCTTCTCGCTTTTTTGGGGTTCTGTTTGAAAAAAAAAAACTTGCATGCAATTGAGTGAGACAGCCGCACAGACTGTGATATGGATTGATGAAACGGTTTACCATCCATTAAATACATCAAAAAATTACCCTTTTATCCGATCATATTTTAATGCGTGCGAGGTAATTTAATGATAAACAAGGCTTACTATTAAATTCGCATTCTTTTGTTTCGAAATTAAGTCTTCAAATCTGTTCAACACGGTTCACCTGCAAATTTTTGTCGTACTTTTTTATGCTACCGAAATTTGTACACCGGAAAAACGGTTTTCAATTTGGAGTTTTTCTTTTATGCTTCTCCTGTTCGTGTTCCCTTTCACAGTCCAAAATGTCTGACAGTTGACAGCTTCACTGGAGCCAAAAAAAAAATGACAAAAAGAAATGATTGCATGACAGACATGAACGTCGATGGAAAAAAAGAGAGACATTTTCTGGTTTCCATTTATCTCGCTATTACGATGTCATAATGAAAGTGCAATTATTCACCACTTATCACAATGAAGAAATGCACCGTACATCAACCATCATCATCATCATCAACTGCACCGTCGGCGGTGGCGATGGCAACGATGATGGTGTCAGCACGAGACAATTTCAAATGAAAACGAGTGTTGAAATGGAAAACTGAATGAGGTGATATGTAAATTATAAAAACGTCCTCATAAGCGTATAAAACGACGATGCAAAGAACATCAAGTGTGGATGTGCGCCCGTTCTGCCACAAATGAAACAAAAAAAAAATGAAACGAAAAAGAACCAGAGCCAGATTTATTTAGTTTTCGCATGTAGTCAATCGATGATGCACAGCCTCTTGATATAGACCCATAGACTTGGCACACAATGTGTATCACACACACACATATTGTGTGCAAAACTCTTTCAAGTGTGTTATGGAAAACACACCCGTGTTTTCATCGCCATCATCATCGTCATCATTTTTTTCTCTGTACCGTTTGTTTCGTATCTTATGGCGTACAGAGATGCAAACGGTGCATATTTTTGCGAAGAAACAGTAGCACACAAAGAACCCCGGAAAAAGCCATATATTCTGTGAATGAAAGCTAAATGCAGAGAAAAAAAAATCATAAAATTAGGCCCATTATTCGTGTTTCTTCATTCAGTATGCCTATTGACTTTGTCCTAGTTCTCGAATGAACCAAATTTGTACTGTTCCTTTTTTTCCGGTTTTAATTTATGTCATTGTGCATGTTTTTGAGTGAGAGAACAGAGAGTGACGTCGATGCAATTTGATCACGCTTGAATATCCAGCATGCACTTTTATCGATAAAATTAGTGAATGGATAACTTACATACTCCTCCTCGCATCTCTTGACTTGCACTTCATTCATTGTGCATTTTCAATGGGAACAATTTTCACGATTAATTCAGTTTGAATGAACAGTAAATCATGAATGAAAGTTTGATGTAGAAATGTTTCTATATGTGTGTTTAAATTGCAAACGAGCCCACATCTGGCCGATAGGCAAAATGCACACATTTTGCGGCAAAGATCAATTAGTTTTTTTTTGGATCTTCTTTTTTTACGGTTAACCTCTATGGAAAATCATGTGTGAATTTATTATAATATATAGTGCATAAAAAGCATATAATCCCGTTCAGCCCACAAAAGCGAAACGTTGCAAAAAAGTGAGCGTGTGTTGGTTTCCTTCCATAAAGATAATCGAGTGCCAATAAATGAGCTTCACACAAAAACTGCACACCGATGTTCAATATTTATGATTGATTTCTGAAAATTTCGATGCATTTTACACGAATTGGCTAATTGATATAGATATTTTTCGTGGGTTTTATTTGATGGTATAAATCGATTTTAATGAATATAAATGTAAAGATGCTCCTGTCATATCAAAATATGCATGAATTTTTAATTGAAAAATGCCAAAATGGAAAATCAAACAATTTATGTGTCCTTTGAAAACGGTTCAATATACGGATAATTGCTTTTTGAAGTTTTTTTGCGGCAAAAAGCGTAGAGAGCAGTAGAATGGATGTAGAAAAAAGAGAGTGAGCGGGAGAGAGAGAGAGAGAGAGAGAGAGAGAGAAAGGGAAAGAAGAGTGTTTTGGTTTGTCGAAAATTCCAGTTGGTTCGCTGCACATTCATTCAACTCATCATGCCGACTTCGACAGACGAACAATGAAAATTCAAAGAGAACGCTCGAGCTGTGCTTATTGAGGGGCCAATGCGCTTTACAACAAAGTTCATTGCACTGCGATGGCTCCAAAATGGTAAAATATATGTACTGTACATGAAAAAGTGATGCCGAAAATGGTTTATCGTACGAAAATGAATTGGATCGCTTGATGTGTACATATGCGTGCTGCAAGTGACTATCGAATTCGATTTTCTCTCGTTCTCTCTGTCTTTCATGGGCACCTTTTGTGGAAAATTGTCTCACGCGAATGGAACGACGGCAACCACAAAGCAAACACACACAGAGACAAACGCACCAACGCCAACAGACACCGATAGACAAAAAAGACAGACTGTGCACACTGCACAATGCAATGAGAAGAAGAAAACTACATTAAATTGATGTACTCCCCACATTGTACAAAGATTCAATTTCAGAACAAACGATACAACAAGAGCCAAACAACAACCGAAAATTTGATGCCCAAAAAAAAGAAAGAAAAAGACAGAAGGACATAGAGAAAGACACACAGAATGTTGTTGATGTTGTTGATGATGAGTCGCTGTGTCTGTTTTATAATCTGTGCATCGAGTAATAGCAAACGAGTGTGTTTGATTTGAGCCAAAGCAAGGCAACGAAACAATATCAAATAGTAAAATGTTGAAATAAAAAAATGAAAATACAAGGAATATGTACGATGTACGTTCAACATGCACATATGCCTTTCGGATGAAGTTGGTTAGGTCTCTGTCGGCATGTTTTTTTCTCTCTCTCGTCTTCATCTCCTATATTCGTATCCTGCATTGAATTGATTCAAGCAAAAGCTCCATGACAACTACCGCAGCAAATCCACTGAAGCATCCAATCAGACGATTCATCCCCGGAATTCTACCGCATCGACACATCTGATACGGCTGTTGTTGCTGATGTTGCCGTTGGTTTTGCACATATATCTTCCCAATTATATTCGGCAACATAATTCGAATGTGCATTCTCGCCAAAAATATGCATACACACACATCCTCAAATCGTATAATATGCACCGATTACCACTATTTCGTCTAAATATTTGTGTTTGTATATTTAAAAAAAAAAAAAAACTACTTTGTAATACGCAAAACACTGGCTTAGTGGATGATGTTGATGACTGTGTGTTTTCGGAACGGGGCCGAGAGATGGATGGAAAAAACAGAGCTCCAGCATGGAAAATATGAGCTATGAGTGCTTTCATATTTGTGCGCTGTACGTTTTATCGGTGTTTATGTGGTAAACCGATG